TTTCATTCTGTGTTCAAATTTAGGCCGGGAATCCCTCAGCATTTCAGCCCGGGGTACTGGGTTCATTACCCAGCTTGGGCTTGAGCTGGTAACCGGGGGCCAAGTCCCACTTACGCTGATTCTTCATTTCGGGCCGTTGATCTTCGGAATCTACGGTCAGAAGTTGAGATTTCGGGTACTAAGGGGGACTTGGCCCCGGGTCCAACGTCCCTTCCAATTTCCAGAAATGCAAAATAGCTTTTCAAACAAAGCTGCAACTCAACGCAGAGACACTCAGGGCATACTCACACTAGGCTATCAAAATCGCAAAATAGCGAAATGAAAGGCCAGATTGAGTACTTGTAAAGATACCACTCCATCTGTCCGGCGCTCAATTTGCGATTTTGTGATTTCGAGGACCTCGTGTGAGTACTATACTCTTATTATACAGTGTTAACAGTCTCAAGTTCCTATCTACAATTGGACGCCTTTGCAAGGACTTAATCTGAGGTGTGACAATTTGCGATTTTGTGATTTCGAGCCCCTGTTGCCCGTGGGTGTTGTTTGAATGGCGGGTAAGGTTTGGGTGCCCAGAACGAAAACGGTTTTCCCATGCCATTGGGCGCCTTTCACCAATTATGAACATGACATTGGGCGAAATACCCTCCCCTACTATGCTATCCAAACAAGAGGGGTTTGACAATGACATTACGTGAGCAAGAAAGATCTCACACGTGTCACAATCAACACGGAGCAAGAAAGATACTAGGCTTCCATCGACGCGAATCTATCACACGGCCAATCGAGTAAGCAAGTTATCCCCCAGCCCCAAACTACCGTCTTCCCCGGAATAGAACGCCCGGTCATTATATCTGTATTTGGCACAACTTTCGGTCCACATGCGGCGATAATGACCGGGCGTTCTATTATTCGGGTGAAGACGGTACTGCTTTCAGAACACCGCCCAGACTCGACCAGTGGAAGAAGGATAATACACCCACAGATCATTCGTCGAGGTTAACGCAGGATCCGTTGTTTAATGCGATCATCGAGGTTAACGCAGGATCCATCACGAAGGATGGGATATTGCGCCCATGCCCGGCAAATCGACATCGAGTTTGATATCGCCGTTGTGCACATTCGCACCTTCGCCCCACTCCTAGATGATGAGATTTTTTTTTTTTTTCTTTTTTTTTTTTTTCTTTCTTTTATAAGGGCTGCTCCGCGCTCTGCAGCAGTGCAATACAGAGGCGACGCTGGAGGGGTCGAGTAGGCAAGCCTACCCGTCTGACCCCTCCGCGGCCCAGAAAAATTAATTTAATATCATGTGGCCCGATGGACCACGGATCAATTTGAGAAGCAGTTCGAGGGATGTGATGTGCATTGCTGACCCCGTTTCTGAAGGTGGCACCACTGTAATGCCCCCACTGTAATGATCCGGCGTAGGTCCCGTAGGAGTAGAAACGGGGTCATTACGGTGCCGTCTTGCGGAAACGGGGTCAGCATTCATCGAATCCCTTTTTTTTTTTTTTTTTTTTTTTTTTTTCCGAATCCTAACAGCGGACGACGCCTATTACATTGGTCGAATCTAACAGCAGAGCGCGACAACGACTTCAGCTGTGCACAAAAAACCGGCGTGGAGCAGTAATGGCATTCGGGGAGAGATGCTGTTCAGAGCATTAAATTTATTATTTCAATAAAAGACGAAAAGACAACAAGGCGACCGAGCCCAAGGCAAGCGAAGGGCAGTCAGGTCGCCGACTGAATCCATGGGTGCATTGAGAAGGGGGGAGGGGAGGGAATAGGAAAAGGAGAAATGGGGTGTGCATTTCAGTCGGCGTCGCTGTCATATCATCACAATGCTCAAAGACAGAACATAGCCGCCCGCCCGCCATACCACAGTGACCGCTCTTCCCGGACAAGACGCAGTCGCTGTCATATTATACGTCTTTGGCCCCGAAACCGACTTTTTGAAAACGGAAGACAAAAGAAATTTATAATACTCGCACATCGAGTTGAGTCTTTATTCGAGTTCGTGTTTAGAAAGAGGCCAACGAATATCAGAGAGCACGTCCATCCAGATGCGCGATACCTAAGGAGCAGGCGCACACAGAGAGAGAGAGAGAGAGAGAGAGAGAGAGAGAGAGAGAGAGAGAGAGAGAGA